GCCAGAAGGAGAGAGAGAGAGAGAGAGAGAGAGCGCGCGAGAGAGAGTGAGAGAGAGAGGGAGGGAGAAAAAATATGAAACAACTCATTTGCAGAGGAGTAAATCACGGAAAACCCGTTTGAGAGCGCGACAGGGCTCCCGCTACAGCGCTAACACCGGAATTGTGATGCGCACGAGCCCTTCCTCCTCTACTTCTCCCTCTTCTTCTCCTTCCTCTTCTTTTTCTTCTTCTTCCTCGTTGGAGATTTTATGGAATCGGTGTGATTGTTGTTATTGTTGTCGTGGTGGCTGTGGCTGTTACTGCTCTGGCTGGCTGCCGTTACCGTTACTCACACCGCTCGTCCGTTGTGGCCGTGAGGGGAAACACCACAACAACGGTCACCGACACCGGCGGCAGACCTGCCTCGCTCTCTCTCTCTCCCTCCCCTCCGTGTCTGTGTGTGTGTCGGTGTTTCTCTGCCTCAAACCGCACGACAGAAGCAGAAAAAAAAAGAAAACACAATTGAAAGCCGCCGATCGCCTCCTCCAGTCCCACTGTGTCTCTGCCGAGCCGAACACAAACTGAAACAACAATAAACAACAACACAAAAAGATGAGTTCATATTTCGTCAACTCGCTCTTCTCCAAATATAAAAGCGGGGACTCGTTACGCCCGAACTACTACGAGTGCGGTTTCGCGCAGGACCTGGCCGGCAGCCGGCCCACCGTGGTGTACGGCCCGGGCTCCGGCGCCACCTTCCAGCACGCTCCGCAGATCCAGGACTTCTACCACCACAGCGCCTCCACGCTGCCCAGTAACCCGTACCAGCAGAGCCCCTGTGCGGTCACATGCCACGGCGAGCCGGGCAACTTCTACGGATACGACGCCCTTCAACGGCAGACGCTTTTCGGGGCGCAGGACGCGGACCTGGTCCAGTACAGCGACTGTAAGCTGGGAGGCGCGCCGGGGCTGAGCGGCGAGGACGCGGAGGGGACCGAGCAGAGCCCCTCGCCGACGCAGCTGTTCCCCTGGATGAGGCCGCAAGGTGAGGAAACACACAGACGTGGCTACTGGTTTTTTTTTAAAAATCTTTTCCCTTATTCGAGACATATTGTGCCGAGTCCCCCTCCCCCTCCCCCCCATAGGTCAGTGTCCATGTTAGGAGCAGAGCTGCTCCTCCAGGAGGAGAAGACAGCAAATGTAGAAGCAGAAACAGTGGGGAGAAAAGTTGGAAAAGTGGTTTTAAAAGCAGCAGTTTAAGCGGGGCAATTAGAGCTTCCTGCGTTCAAAGCGGGAGACAAAAGCACGTTTATGGCTTTATTGGCAGCACCAAAACTTGTGAATGACTTTAGGGTTTAATTGCCCCGGCCATATACTGAGAGAATGGACGAGGAGAGCCGGGGTAGGAGCTCAGAGACAGAGAGAAAAAGCAGTCCAAAATAAGCGAGAGGTGGTGGAGAGAAGGGGGGGGCAGAGGAGAGAGAACTGAACCTCAGAGACCTCTTCATGAGAAACCCCTGCGTAGAGCAGATGGGAAAGAGTTGTTGGAGGTAGTTGTTTCCAGACACACAGACTCATTTTAGACATGCAGCTCTGACCCGGGTTAAACTTTTACTGCCTTTTTTTGCTTTTACTGCCTTGCCTGTGGTCTCCGGATTATTTGGCTACACGGTGGCCAGTTCCCTATAGGGTTAAAGCAGGGGGGCAGTGCATGTGTGTGTGTGTGTGTAGAGGATAAAGGGAGTTTTTTACTCGGATTTAGCACCTTCACAGCGTGTGTGATCTCAAAACTCTCAGGCCTGTCTGATCCGCTGACTCAAATACCAAAATCATCTCACAAGTGATGTCCGTGTGCTTCAAATTTAAGCTGGGCTGCCTTTGTGTCTTATGTGTGTATGTGTGTGTCTTATGTGTGTGTGTGTGTGTGTGTGTGTGTGTGTGCGCGCGTTCGTGGTCTTTGTGTGTTTGTGACACACACAGCCTGTGAATATGGATCAGGCCCGATTGGTTCAACACGATCGGATTGTAAATCTGGAAAGAATGTGATTTAAAAAAACTATTATTTGTATTATGGGGCAGCCGAGCTCATAACTGATGGCTTAAACCAACAAGACTGATTACGCAAGAAGGCATTTTTGTGTTAGAGAGACATAGACTTAGAGGGAGAGAGAGAGAGAGAGCGTGAATGGATTGACATGTATAGTAGCCTATTTTGTTTGAGCCCATATTTCTTGTGCTGTGCCGTTGTGTGTGTGCGCGCGTGCGTGCCTGCGTGTGTGTGTGTGTGAAAGAGAGAGGGAGGGAGGGAGAGAGTTTATTGCTTATGTTCTCGGTTGTATTTTTGAAAGTGGGCCTGCAGACGGGTTATAGCCTGTACAGGACTTTTGTGGCTTCATGATTATGATCATAAAATAGGAAAATAATAAATAAAAAAAACTACCCAGGTCTGTATTCACCTCGAGCTACTCCCTCTTCATCCTTATAAGACTTAACGTGCCAACCACCTGCTACAGATAACTGCAATAATAGAGCTAATTCACATTTACGCACGCTTTTATAAGACTGTGAAGACGGTGTTTAATCTCCATCGCCTGTGTGTGTATGTGTGTGTG